TTGTTGGGGGCAATATGCTGACTCTGTAAACCGCTTAGAGAGGGCTGAAAGCCCTATGAAGCGGTATATAAGTCTAACTGCTATTGCTAAATTAGGGCTAACCAAGGTTGAAATTATTTTCTACCACTTTCTTTGGATTTAGATTAAGTACCTATGCCATACCTTGATATGTGTCTAATCCAATATTTAGCCCTGGGTAAACATTCAGGCTACTGTCTAACGTGAAAATATGGCTAGAAGAGGAAGAGGATGGGTTTTTAAATTCTCTCTTTGCTTCCTCCCTCTGTTGCCTTTGAAAACTCCTGTTTTGGTGGGTTACAAGAGTCACGTCTTCTTTAAGAAACCCAGCATTATCTATCACATGATCTGAAAGCCCAGTTCACCAACAGTGCCTTGTTCATACTATGAGCCCCAACATTTGTGCAATGCCTTTTTAATCAATCAGAACAGAGCTGGAATAGAGTCTTCTAGTCTAACCTCCTGCTCAAGCAGGAGACACTATACCACTGATGGCTAATCTTTTTGTTATTGTGTTGCTGACAGCACATGCACACGCCCATGCCCACAATGCGTGCACAGCTCCCGTGCAGGAACACACGACCCCCATGCATGCACGCATGACCCCTTCCTGTTCCCTGCCCCCCACACATATGCCCCCATGCCGTACCTGGGGTCTGGAAGACCTTCTGCACCAACCTGGAAGCCAAAACAGGGCGCAGGGGTGCCACATGAGGCCTCATAATGCAATGTGAGCACCCACTCGTGCATGCGCGTCCCACGCATGCCCCCACCCCACATGTGCAGAAGTGACCCGAAGACCAGCTGGCTGGTGGGAGGTGTGCACGCATGCACAGTGGAGCTGGGCTGGGGCAACAGCTGGGTTGCTCGCAGAGGGCACCCTGTGTGCCACCTGTAACATGCATGCCATAGGTTCACCATCCCAGCCCTATGCCATTTCAGACAGGTGGCTGTCCAGTGTTTTCTTAAAAACCGGCAGTGATGAAGCACCCACAACTTCTGAAGGCAACTTTTGTTCCACTGGTTAATTGTCCTCACTGTTAGGAAGTTTCTCCTTAATTCCAAGTTGCTTCTCT